AAAGACGTGATTGTCTTTGATCCAAATTCAGTTCCCCTGCAGCTCGACACTGAAGGTGCACTTTTCTGAACCAGATTCCTGATGTTTGTGGCCTCACCAAACAGGATCTCTGATGAGAATAAGTTCATTCATGGCTGCCTTTAAGTTCTGATTGCTGGGAGTCTGTACAGTATGCATGACGTGGATGTCATTTGTTCATGGACTTGCCTACCATCTGCCAGATCCTGCATCTGTCTGATTCCCTCACACTGGGGCAGTGATTGGGAGAAGTGGGGCCGACCGCTGCAGGATCTGAGTTGAAAGGAATGCGAGCTAAACACTGCAGGATCTGAGCTGTCACAACACCAAAGACACAAATACACACTGTTTGGATGGATGGAGGAGTGTAAAGACTGAGATTGTGTGTTTGATTTTTTTGAAGTTAGTGGTAAGTGTTATGACATGCTACTTAAATATGTAACATTTTCCACAAAGCAGTCATAAATACACAAAACATTATGGCCTTGGACACTCGCTTACAATAACAATGACCGCATTTGCTTTGAGATCCATCAGTGAAAAGACAACCGAAGTTTTTGAATTGATTTATGAAGTGCATTTAACAAATGAATAGAAGGGCAAGAGCTGATTCTATTGGATGCCAATGAGAAACAGTGCTCCAAATGTAAAACAAGCCCTGTTTTACGAGCTGGAGGGGAACATCTTGACCCTGTCCAGATGAACTCATGCCTCGCATTGCTGCCATGTGATGTCATGGCCAGCGGAGGGATGGCGTCCGGGGGAGCAGAGGGCACCAGCTATCTGCTTGCTGGGAATGTAGGAGTGAGCAAATTCAAACTGCCACCAGCTTTAGTTAGTTACACTAAAACACTGATGACTATCTTCCTTGTGGGCCACTCCAGTCCTGGATGAGAGGCTATTTCAAAGCTAGCTCTAGTGTGTGTTGTTTCACTAAATATGGTTCATGATCAATCCCTTGCCTTATCCTGACAACTACACATGACTGAGTTTCACAGGCATACGCAGCACACATTTGGGCTGATACCTCTGATGACGATTCTGCAAGAGGCTACACGGCAGTATGGACGGCTGCTATCTGCTAATAAACTGAAGACCTTGTTACAAAACCTTCACAGGACCACAGGTAACACTTTAAACTGCCAATGAGATCTAAAATCTGTTCTGACAAAAGATCAGACAAAAACACAAAATGTCAGTGTGCAGGATTAACAGCTTAGCAAGCATTAACTCTGAAAAATGATAGCTGTGAGTGTGTCTGGATGGAGAGTCCTATTAACCTTTTCACTTAATGGCAGTGACATTTCCTAGGTTGAGAAATGGTGGCAGTCCTAACAAAAAGGTTGTTTATCTTCACTCAGTGATCTGAAGAGTGTGACAGTGACATCGCTCTACAATTCATCATACAGCTTTTGTAGTAATGTAGCCATCCTAAAGAATAGTTTTGTAAAGCAAGTGTCTAATTTCTAACCTATTTTCAAAACAAGTTAACTTCTTTCAAAACTTTTCTAGCGTATTGTCATTCATTTTTAGTAAAAACAT